TTTATAGAAAAATGGTTTTCAAAAGCAAATGCATATTTAGTCGATTTTAGGTCTCTTAGTTTAATAAAAAAAAATTGATTCATGTCAAGATGGTTATATCGAAAACAGTGGGACTAGTATACATATAACTAATGCAAAATACCTTAATATACTTTCTTTCATATTAAAAAAAATAATTCATTGTAAAGTTTGAGGAAGCAATGAAAAACATTATTGTTTAATAAATAAATGGTTCAATAAACACCGAGAACAGTAGCTGAATATTTGACTTTGCCAAATAAATAAATGAAAAAAAGTCGAGGTCACGAACAGAAACATTTTGTGTAAATTTTAGAAGTATTGCATGTTGTTTCTTCTCTGGTTGGTCAAACATGAAGGAGAATACAGAAAATTATATTATTAAGTTATAAACTGTTATAAGGGAGAGGGCTAAAGTAGGCTGAGACTGCTGCCCAATCCTATTCACTTTAACACCTGTGAATAAAATATTGTTTAAATTATATTATAATAAATGATAAACAACACCTTTAAAAAATGTAGTGCAAAAACTATTTTAAATACACTTTCTCTCATTGAAGAGCCCGCGTGGCGCAGTGGTATGACGTTTGCTCTATAGTTTTGGAGTAAGGAGTTGATCTTTCAAATCCCACTGTGGGACCTGGAGACTGTTTTACGGGTGAGAACATATAAACAAAATACCGTGTTACAGTAGATAGCCCGAAAAAAAATCCCCCAATGCTCAATGGCCCTGAGTGCCGAGTATATATAGGTAAAAATATGCAGCTTTTCATTGGCAGGTGGTAGGTCTCTATGTGAGTGAAAATTCTCGAGAGGGACGTTAGACAACAACCAAACAAAAACAAATTGAGAAGCAGCAAATCATTTCATAACGTTTAAAGGTAAATTAAAAACATAAACAAAAGTAAGGCGTTGTTACTTCAAAGCACATGTTGAATAAATTTTTTTAAAGGTTTAACTTAAAAGTAATTTGTCGATAAGATAAGAAAAATAATCAAGATTTGAAATTTTCTCACAAAACGTCGTTGCAGTCCTTAAAATTCATAAACTAAGTTCGTCAGGGATCCAACGGTCACAACGAGTGGACACAAACCCCCTAAGTTGAGAGAATGTTCAGACAAGGATTAGAAATATGTCCCTGATCCGATCATGGTATTGAAGTGTTTAGCAACCCTCATTTAGGTAGATTTTTTCCACCATTGAATAGTTTCAATAGTAAAGGCCTAAACACATTTTTTAAAAAAAAATACATACAGTGCATACTTTTTAGACAGACAGGCAAAATATACAACAACAATGTACATATATATATATAAGAAATTATATCTGCATAATTAGACCTTTTTAAACACAAAATCAATCAAAATGAATGGATCAAAATAAAACTTTGATGTAACCAATTTATTCCAGAAATTCTTCAATCTGGAAGCTGTTGACACTTGGCGAGATTTTATCTGACAAAACAACATATTCCATTATGTTCAACATAAGGCTAACTATGTCAGACATATTCTATCATGCGTCTGTCGTTAAAATGCCAATTTTCGGCTGTCTGGGAGCATCGTTTTATCAGTAAATCCTTCGGAGGCGGAATAAAGAAGGAAAATGAATTTCTATATTCATTCTTTTCAATATAATTACCACAAAACGCCTTGGATTTCAGACGAAAAAGAGGCGTCGGTGATAGAAAATTATTGTAATTACCAACCATTTTCAAACAAAGCAGCAGCTACCGAAAATTGCTCCAATTTCAATCATGACTCTGAAATTTTTTTTAGTACCTGGTTAGCCGACATAATTTGATTTATTTGTTCTCCTACAAGTGTGTAATCAAAGAAATTGAATTAACTCACGACCCAATTACACATGAGCTTGAATTCATGATACATAGAGAATCTAGCTTTTCTTGGGTTATTTAAAATGCCCTGAGAATTGTGGGAGTCTGTTGATTAAGAAACAAATTGTTTAGAACACCCAAGTAGAATGTGGTCAGGTGTTCAACTTTAATTTGTTTTTCTTTTGTAGATACTGGATTCTTAATTTAATAGATTGCAAACAAATACAAAGCAAAACCTTACACTACTAGCTGTGCGGCAGTTTTTAAAATGCTTTTTTGAGTATTTTACTTTTAAACAGAGATACAATGCATATTAATTCTGATTTTAAAAAAAATGAAAACAGATAATTTAAACTTTCCCCATAATGCCTTTTAAATGCTTTTAAGGCATTCCCTGATCAAGTTTGTATGTATTTGTAAGCTTTTGCTCAACCACGGCTTGTCATATTTGTTCATCTTTGAATTGTTGTCATTCTACCAACATCTTTTGGAATATACTCTCCCAACAATATTTGATACAAAGTATATGTATTCTGGGGAACAGGAATTGCTTTTACTCACAGGCATGATGAAATATATGGAGAAAAGGAACATTATTTCAGCTCAAATGTTCATTTTAACCATACAAATCAGAGACGGAGCAAATACTAGAGTTGGGGTATGGTGCCATGGAGGAATGAGCATCCCCTGCTCACATCCGGCGTTTGCTCCTTGTCTTGATCAGAAAATAAAAGAAAAATCCTTCAATAATTCGATGTGTAAATAATTGTCTAATAATTAGTATGAAAAACTTCAGTCAGCATTCGTTATTTCCATTCTTACGATACGATATATCCCGGTGAATTTGAGAGAAAAGATACCACAAAGCCTGACAAATCTGTTTCGTATTTGGATAGGATATTTTACTTGAAAAGACGTTAATGGTAATCTAACAACCAAGCTCTATGATTAATGTGATGATATTAACTGTTCATTAGTCAACTTACTAATGCAGCGATATTATTTTTCCTCCATCACCTGTACACGGGGTTTATATCTCTCAGTTGATTCGATACGTAAGAATATGCTCTACGTATACACAATTTCGTAAACGAGGTAAATTTTTGACAAACAAGTTGATGAAACAAAAATATCAGCAGTATCGTTTTTAAAAAATCATCGGACTTCATGACTTTAACGACACTGTCATTTTTGTTTCTTCAACTTGTTTGTCAATATATTACTTCGTTTTTGAGTAAAAGATTTTAATAATTATTAATCCTAAATAAATTCCAAAACCTCATATTGAAAAGTTATGAGTATTAATTTTGTGTAAGGGTAATAGTGGGTGCTGGATAATATGCTATGATCAATTATGTAGATATATGCGTAGAATCATATACATGTATACATGTATATGTTTGGGAAACATGAATACAGGTTTCTTCTTCTATATTTCTTCAGTGCTAACAATTCCTTTCTAGAATATTTCATATACATATTCATATGATAAATAAAGTTTTCTTCAAAAATAATTTTCTTTATTAGATTTGTTTAGTTTTATCATAAGTATATAGATACGATTTGCTCTCTCATTGTTTCTTAAAGCACCAAAATTAATGTTCTCCCCATCTGTTATCAAAGAACCTCAACTGAAAGAAAATCAGACGAGGTTGTTGTCTGTTATTGAAACCGTCTACTCTTCACATAAAGGAGTCTTAAAACTGCGACAGTTTACCTCTCTTTTTACGAAGATGTCAGACACTTTAACAACATCTTTGATTTATAGTACTCGATGCTCCTGCCCATATTCTGTGATTTATTATGAATACTGCACGTCTTTAAGATCCATGTAAATTTTCTGATTTGTGATAAAGACGTTTTAAAGTGAACTGAGAGGCCAAGAGTTCACTATTTAGTGTTCCTATTGAAGAGAGATCCAATATGATGTATTGGCCGTAGCATTCATACATCACCCTAGAAGACGTATACATCTTGACTGTGTTTGCGGGGGAGATTTCCATTTTTCTCATCTTTTCACGAACGCCCGGATTAAATACGGCAATCTATAAACTATAGAAAGAGATATGCCGGCCATTTATTTTTCTGTAGACATGATTAGGTTACTTATTGATGGAGGAGCTGTAATCATAAAATGATTAACTTTTGACATAATTGCACCTCTCCTGTGCGTTAACTTTCCTGTGATGACGTATTTCTACCGTATCACTGTACGCATAATAGTCGATGCATCCAGATATACCCTAAACTGCATTCCAACATGCTTAAGTTTACAAATTAAATGCATGTTTGATAAACGTTTAACTCGGGGTGATACAGGAAGCAAATATTTACGAATTGCACAAGCTTTGGAACCTTTCTGCAATGAACATTATGAAAATCTACACCATTCGCTTGAGGAAGCTACCTCGTGATGTCACATCTGTTAATAAATAGATGATAATTTAAATTATTAGATAATTAAAATCCCCGTGATTTAATATTGGCGCATACAATGCAATATAAAAATAAGTCTTCTGTGGTGCATTTTATGTCAAAGTGTGTTTCTGGTATGCTCCAGTGTTGATCATTTAGCAATTAACCGTATTTAGGGGGTGAAGGGTGACAAAACAGACACCAAACTTAAATAACTCTATGAAAACTCCATGGGAATCGCTGCATCTTGATTGGCAATAACAAACTAGGTCCTGCCATAAGATAGTAATACAAGCACTTAGGTGTTTTCCTCTATGTGCACCACATCCATATCTGCATGGGTAACAAATGAACAGTCCAAAAAGACTGAAATAATTAGATTCATATGCACTGTAAAAGTCCATTTTTGACCCCACTTGCTGCTGTGTCGAAGTTAGGAGGAGTTCTTGGAAGCAGCATATTAAATGTTAAGAACTTTTTTTAACGTTATCAAATATTGTATTCTGACCCAATTTGGGCCATTGAATGAACAATGGAAACTCTAAAATTTTATTCCAGATCTTTAGAAAATCTGCAATCACCCTTCAAAAGATACTCTAAAAATGCATGAAGAGTTCATTTTACCACAAGGTTGAAAATGAAAAATCCCATTTGAACCTTATACATGTTGCACATATGTAAGACAACCGAATTATCTTTTAAAAGTAAAACTGGCTGCGACGTAAATTATTAAGTTTTTATTAAATTAATCATTGAATTTTGGCCAGATTATAATGAAAAACACACTTTTGAATCCACATATAACATGTATCTAACAAGTTAAAAGAAATGAAAATTCCGAAATTTAACCTTATTGCCCAGATTGAGTTGAATGTTGTGGAAAAAAATGTCGTTCTTTGATCACCATTTGAGTCCCAAGGTGAACGTACAATTTTCGAAACCTCATTACACACCAACAGGTCATGTACACTATCAATCATCTTAGTCAAAATATGATTCGAAAATTATATAAAATGTCAAAATAGGTTTGTGAATCAGGATTTTGTAAGAAAACATTTTTTTTTAAACTTGTATTTGACCATCAGGATGACCGAGAAAACCCCTTTGCATATGTAAATGACACTACCTTATATATATTATTCCAAATGATAAACTGGTTACAACATTGCTTGTAATACTTAGAAGAATATCAAGAAGGAGAAAATTTGACGGTCGGACAAGGATAACAATTTATTTTAACTTTCTTTAAAAAATTGCGTTAGTAATTATAATGACAGTATTCATAATTATGTATCTTCAAGGAACAATTGTCATATATAGAGTAAACTAATAACACATGTAACCGTAATTTTGTTACAAAATGTATGCTTTTACATGAATATTCGTTGTACTCTTTACAGTATATAATGCCTACGATACACTGTCTTATTAATGTACCACTAGACACAGGCGTGGGATTCTTTACAGATATCAAAGCCAACTTTGTCTGTTGTTCGTCACGCCCTGTGTTGCATCTTCTCTGTAAAAGATATCGCAGACAGATTACATATTGTCAGTGGGTCTCGCTAGTGCTTAAGATTTTATCGTTGTTCTCAGACTCAAAGACACGGAGAGTACCATGTCACCTTAATTTCTTAAAACAAAACATTTTTCAGTATGTTTGTTATCTTTAAGATAAAGATTATCCAGGAAATGTAAATCTTTCGTTCTGAAACCTCCCTGCTAGACTGCAATTTCTTTTAACAAGTAAGATTTGTTTAGAAAGTGGATGTTTGTTTTTCTGCTTATTTGTGTTAAACATGCAGCATGTTATTAAACTCAAAATGTTGTAAATGACAAAAATAAATATAAGGTTTCTTATACTTTCTAATTTATTGAACATTGTTAGTATCTCAAACTGTCACGGTCCTTTGAAAAGCAAAATGAAACACTGCATACTGTAGAAACATACATTTCCGTGGGGAGCAAATTTCGTTGATTTGTTATTTAACTAAAACAATTTCGTGGGTTTTAAATTTCGTTGTTTCGAAAGTAACACTATTTAATATATACTCGTATTAAATTTCTTGTGGGATTTAATTTCCTTGATAACTGTTAACAAAGAAATAAACAAAATTTAATCCCCCATGAATTTTTCTGATTTTTTGAGTATATTTAAGTTGGTGAAAGAATTTTAAAGCTACATGAATGCTTTGAAAATAAGTTTAATGACTTTTAATATCGAAAATTATTATCTTTTTTTTAAATTTTGCATCTCAATCCTCAAGAAATGAATATTTCCCAACCAATATTTCTAAAAGTCCTATGTTTCGTGGAATATACACGTAATTTACCCTCCCGGTGACGCCTTAATGTCGACAACACATCCCAGTCATCGTAAGAAATATCCTGGCAAAGAGAAGACAAACAGTTGTTTTTAATTAACACATGTTACACAAAAAATCAACAAACAACACACTGCCCGTGACAAAGACAATAAACAGAGTTTGGTGTGATGCAAGAAAAAAACATTTAGCTAATTAGCACTAACATTATTATGCTCTAATTAATAAAAGAAGTCTTTAGTATAGCGTCTGGTATTACTGACCCAGCAAACTTGATTAACACGTGGTGTATGGTGGTTGATCAAATCTCTAAATTCTGTTATTCCTTTGTCAGAAATTCACCTATCACTTGTAGTTGAACAAAGGAAGTAGTCCAAAAAGCTCTGTCTGCAAATTTCAGTTATATGTAAGTTTTGCTGAAAAAGGAAACCTCATATTCGGATCTTTTGACAATTTTTTTTAAAGATTTTAGAAGATTCTAGTGAAGGAACATCCTGTCATCAATTACAATCTCCACCATTCGATGGCTTGGTTAATACCTGAATACAAGGAACTACTGTACAAGGTACACGTATCCGAACAACCGTTCGAGTTTCTAATACAACGATTTTTTTTAAAAAAGCAGCTTTCTGGCCAAGATATATAACAATAAAATCCCCTTGTAGATCATAAAAAAATACTTCTGATGACAATCTTGTTTCAAATTTCAGCTTCTGTTATATTTCCTTTTGTGAAATATCTTTCTATATTATATTAATATATTGAAATGAGTTTGTAGTCTTTTATGCTGAAAGATGAAATGAATCAGGTCTCCGCTTAAATGCACGCGTATGGAGGGTGTGACATTCCTACTTGTTTAACTTATTCAAACAACATTGCCGTTGACTTGAGGGGAAGAAATTTGGAACATATCGGAAAGAATTTCCATATTATACTTGCATTTAATATTCTAAATAGAGTTTTCTTAGTTAATCCTTATTATGCACAAAGGAAGCTAGCTAGACAAACCTGACGATTAAAGATCTATTTCGATACAAAGTCATTGCCTCTCAGATTCAGGTAACATAAATTTTATGATTATGGCTTATTTGTCTGTTACGCATCTCATTTTCATAAATTTGGTCACACAACCTTGCATCAAAATCGATTGCATCTCGATGTTGCAACCACAATATGTGCGTCATATCTGGACAATTTTTAATTCTAATGGCAGAAAATCTCTGATTGTGCACCTATTTTTACCAATGTTTTGTGTTTACGAACATTTTCAAGCCAGATGTGCCAATATTATCGATATCATTGATTAAATAGCACACAATGAGGAAATATCAGATAGATAATGTTTGATATATACATGATTTATAGCACTAGCTGCTGTTTATCTGGACACGATAACAACGATTGTAAACAATAATCAACACAAACATAAAACACTATTATCTTCTCATATCAAATTTACATGCATATTCTTCATACCTAAGGCGTTATAAGTACATTGATAGCTTTCCAAATGTTGTTCGAGGGTAATTGTATGGCGATCACGTGATGTGTGATATGGTTAATATCAAACTCTTTTGTTTTGAATATTTATGCATTAGAAATTACATATTTGACATTGGTTTTGTTACATCTTATATATTTTATCTTGTTAGACCTAATTTTCAACATTTTTGTAAATGTCAATGAAACATTGAAAATAAGAAACAGTAATTGAACCTTAAAAAATTTCAATCAATACAAAATTGTGATTAATGCTCAGAACATACACTTCGGGAATTCCAGAGGTGTAATCATCAAATATATTCATGGCCGCCGTGATATTTTAATCAAGTAGCCTGAATATCCCATAGTCAAATTCTATATAAAAACAAATGTCTAACAAATAGAAGGAATCAGGTAAGCTAAAATACGATACAATGTTTGGATAAAATTTATTTTAAAATATCTGTTGAAATCCATGTAACATCAATTTATCTGAAAATAATAAACATACAAATGTGCTCATACATAATTCTGGTTATAAAGGAATTGAAACATATGGAGAACAGTATTCAAGATCATACAATCTTGATAAATTAAGCTTTTGATATCATCGATAGCTGCTTTTCAATAAAAACGGAAAGCGAAAATTTATCTACCTTGTCATTGGTCATTTACAAGATTATTTTGTTAAAAACATTCTTATTGTACACACAAGTACTCTGAAGATGACATCAAAAAGATTCTTTAGCTTGTGATTGACAATATCTTCGTGATTTTGGGAGACCCCAAAATTTTATACGTGAAAAGAATACACATCCTGTGGTCTTCAACTCGACATTTAGATATATGGACGATGCAGTGTCGATTAAAAATCATTATGGTTATTAAAATTTTTATGTCGATACGATATATCCAGGTGAGCTTGAAATAAAAAATACCAGAGATTATGACACAGTATTATATTGGGATATTTTACATGAAAAAGACGTTAATGGTAATCTAACAATTAAGCTCTATGATAAACATGATGACTTCAACGTTTCAATTGTCAACTACCATTACTTATGCAGCAATATACAGTGTACCTTTATCACCTGTATACGGAATTAATATCCCTCAGTTGATTTGATGATAACATGTACAATTTCTGAAACGAGGTAAATTATTGAAAAACATTTTGAATTTTTGATGAAAGAAGAATATCAGCAGTCTCTATTAAAGTCATCATTTTGATGTTCTCTGATCGATACAATGACCTTGTCAACAAATACAATTTATCATTGAGTTATATGCTGAAGTCAGAATGAAAAAAGTCAGTCCTGAAAAGTCAGTCCTCAGTTGCATTTACACATTAAACAAATTTTCCGTTATTTCCCAATCATGACAAGGAGCACACGGTAGTGTCATAGCTCACTCCTCCATGACACCGCACCTTTCATGTTTGCTGTTGTGCTCCTGTTTTGTATTGTTTAATAAATGAATACTGGTTAATATATTTCATAGAAAAGAGAATGTGATGAACCTAAGCCTATGGAATTATCAACCGAATCCATAAAGAATTATTTAAAAGTGGGTGATCAATTTTTGTCTCTTCTACATTATAAAGATTTCCTTAAAATTACCCTTTAATCACTGTTATATTATTTGGAATTATAAAACCGAGTTAGTTATAAAATGTTTATATATATTCCTTAGATGTTAAAGCCAAATAACAAGTATAAATCATTTGTAATGTACATTTCTTTTAACCGAAATATATCACTTTGAATCAAAAGTCTTCTTTCCAAATTCAGTGACGCGATGCACGTAAAGGTATTACGCTGATAATTGCTACAACGTGTTACATAGTAAATCGTCAGGATGAACATGAATCAATGATCTACCAATAAAACCAGGCATAAATCTACTGGACTTACAAGTATGTAAAGCATGAAAGAAAAAACTGACATCAAAGCTTCCTGTATTCATTGAACATACAAATTCAGAGTGCAGTATTTGTCCCGAACCTTTCAATAGTATAGAAAAAATGGTTCGACATCCAGCAGCAGCGGGTCATTATTTGTTGTCGACAACATCCACAAATTCCTGACAGCAGAACATGTTATTAGTCACAACATTTTCCAACTTTTTCTATGGAACAAACAAGTTAAGTGTTAATTGAACATTATTGCTTTTTACTTGTTTTTTGTATTCTAGCATGTTTTGATAAACATTATGTCGTATACTTACATATATATATGCTGAATTTTTTTTCAATGTATTTGAAATCCCTGATTCTGTTGCAGGGTGTTTTACTACTTCCAGTTGCAAGCTTTTTTAAGACTTTCAATATGCAGGTAAAATTTTTTTATGTGAAATATATCTGTATTTAAATACATGTACATCTATTCACCTGATCCCATGCACCTCTGATAATTTGGGAGCCCTTGTTTGCTCTTCTTAAATTTTGTATTGTTTAATGGACTCTGTAGCTGAATACTGTTCGTTATCTCCATATATTCCATCTATAACAAGAAAACATTAATGGACTTAATTCACTAGAGAGTGTATTAAAAGTTTATTTTTAGAAAATTGATACAAACTACACGTAAAGGCTATAATGTTACATGCACTGGAATGAAATGGGTAGCTTGGAAACAATTTCAATCCAGCAAAATCAAGATTAACACTAGTCTTATATATAGACAGACCTAAAATATAATTTTGACGCTTTTTAAACAACAACAAACATCAAAAATAACAACAAACCTCAAAATAAATGCTTAAGAAATTTAATGTACTTCATACATGTCGTATTTTTTTTTATTTTGACATTCATGTATAAAGTTGAAGGCATCCCTCTTGAGATTTTTTTTTTTTACACCTTTGCCTTGAACCATGTACACTTCCTTAAATTTTCTGTGTACACCTATTGTTGGAAGATATTATTTTTATTGTATATGTATGTAAGTATGATTAACATTGAATTAAGAAATGACATTACTTTAAAATGGTCCTATGAACAATGAGTGATTATACATGACAGCCAATATGTCGAGCATTACTTTTTTGTGAGACTGGAATGCCCTGCTTGGTGGTTCGAATTCATTACACGTTGAATTGGGCGAGGAACAAACTCCTCAATTGTCTTTGAATATACATTGTAATAACTGGTGCCAATAAAATTTGCGTAAATTTCTTGTTTAATTTCAGCATTTAGTGTCATTATATGCACTGACGTATGTGTGCAATATTTTTTTGATAATTTGGTTTTGTGTCAGGAATAGAATCTTACGCAAAATTGCATCTATTTATTACGTTTTCCCTCATTTATAATACTACTCAAGAGCATGGGAGAATTGTCAAATGTTTTTGTATGTGCAGTTGACAAGGGCAAGAAAGGGAGGGACAATTTTCAATTTTTGATATGTTTATTATCAGCAATAAATTTTAAATGGAATTATATCAATTCTCAAGAAGAACAAAATAAATTTCGCATAATGTGTTTTTCCAAGTGTTAGATCACTTCGAATGAAGTTCAGCTCTCAGCGTACTATTATGTTATTTTCTCCAATTTATTATAATAAGGCGATATCAAAATGCCCTTTCAAACGATGCTAAAACACTAGCAATTCATTTGAATCTTAATCAAATTCGTTTATTGATACAATTTTCATATCTAAATAATATATCTTTACAGATACTACATGCACACGTATCATAATATATTAGCAGTGCAATGATATAAATTTTTGTCTTTTATACTTCTTTCATTTCGTGTATAAATGTATAATACGATGTTGTTTCCTGCCTTTTGTTTTCACAATAACAACAAATTATGTAATTTCCTGATTTTGATATAAAAATTAAAATACCTACACGGCTATGTGTTCTTATTATAATTTTCAAATGAAAATCAATCAGTGAACGGCAATACGACAACAATTAACATAAAGTGATAAATAATTATATTTAACAGCTATGACATGTTCAAGAAATATAAATAAAAGAAAACAATACAAGAAAATGAAGACTATTCGGTATGTAAAACATCTTACCTTGAAGTTCAAACTGACAGGTTGCACCTTGGTCTTTTTCTACATTTACTCCCAGACTAAGACATATTTTTTTATTCCTTCGGCACATTTGATAGAGTAACAACCAATTGAAAATACTTCATAATGTTCCACAGAAACGACTTGATTTACGTCTGATATTATCAACTTTACATCATTAATTAGGTTTCATTGGAGCCTTCTGATATATATGTACATGTACACACTAGGATAATGTAGTTTGTATACAATAATGATTGTGAAATGTTCATTGTGCAACACGTTTTATATTTCAATTAAATTCATTTGTATAAAAAAAAAAGCTTTAAAATTTTAAGAATATGCAGGTAAACTTGTGTTACGTGAAAAAGAAATCAGGATTAACTGCTTGTAAGACAAAAGCTTAAAAATGAGGATTAGAATAAAATACAAAGGAGTTTTAACAGTTCACTATGTGAATAGATTCACGAGGACTAAAGATATTTTGAATAAAACATGAATTGTGTAGATTGAAAGTATTCAAAGGATTTGTACTTTATCTTAGAAAAGAGTAATATCACAAAAAAGCTGAAAACAAAGCCCAAGTTTGCAAAAAAAATACTACAATACAAATTACTCATTGTTAAAAGATTTTGAAGAACAAACACTCTTTAGTTGAGATGATTACGTAAGATAAAATAG